ACACTGGTATTCAAGCTGTCCAAAAAGCTTGCAACTTACCTGCATCTTCATTTAGTAGCACAATGTCGTCTGCATACTCTAGATCAGACAGTTTGCCACATGGGAGTAAATCGCTGCCACTTTCCTCGCACGAGGATAGGACTGTAACCACAATCAAATCTATAACAAAAGTGGATAGAAAAGGAGAGAGAGAGAGGGTAACCTTGACAAACTTCACTTTCTGTGGTGAACTTGGTTGAAAAAGTGCCGTAAGCTTAGACACAACTTCGACTCTTAGTATAAAAGGATCGTAATATTGAAATAAACTTCTCGGGCACATCCTTTAGGGAAATGCAGCGCCAGAGTTTAGAGACGATGTTGATCGAAGCAGTTTCTCTATGGTTTTTACAGGAGGACCTGTCGCCTTGTAAATCGGTATGATTACTGATTCACGCCATTCAGCTGGAACCTCTTCCACAATAAGCCCAGGAGTTTTGTTAACTCCAAAACTGAACCTCCATTCTTAAAAATCGATGGAGACAACCCATCGGGGCTGGAGGCCTTATGCCCTTTGCGATAACTTATTTCTCAGGTAGCCCACATTTCAGATGGAGGACTAGCCTCAACTGGCAGTATTTGCCCAGTCGAGGCGGAGAGTGAAAGATAAGGTGTCGATGGGGGTCAGTTGAATTGAGCTTTGAAGTGTTCAACCCATCGATCAAGACGTTGCTGATCTTGAATCAGTGTGCCATCAGATTCCTTAATTACCTCACGCCTACTTTCCTGGATCCTGTTTTCCTACTGAGACGGAAAAGATTGCGACCATTGCCGATAGCCGCATCCTTCTCCATCTCTACATTTCTCTACCCACTACTTCTCGCGGTCATTCCTCAGACTGTTGATGAGCTGGCGTTTGAGAGATTTGCGCGCTGTCATGTGGCATCCGGAGGCAGGGTTCAACGGGTGTCCAGCACGGCAGTCGTGATCGACGAAATCCATCGTTTGTATTTTGAACCAACTGCATAGTCCGACGTTTTTAATGATATTTGCATTGCTTCCTTGATTTGCTTCCAGTGTTCATCGTGACTTTCGGCTGGTGGTCTAACTGACAGGCGATTGGGGAGCTCCGCTTCGAAGGCCAATTCGCAGCCATCGCGGACGCTGTATCCTGGAAATCCGTTGTCGGTGGCTTTTCTGCAGTTGTTTGTCAGGCGTAGGGAGAATTTGGCTCCTAGCAAGGCATGGTCTATGTCCACAGCGTTTGACTATTAGGAGCGGCAGTCTTGAATTGGTCCCCTCCAGCGGTAACTGATGGCGATGTGTTCGATCTGGGTCCAGCGTTGTGAAGAGGTTGGCGGTTTCCATGTAAGACGGTGACGTTTCTTGTGTGAGAAGTTCGTTTTTGACAAGAACAATCCTTGGTCCGCTAAGAGTTGAAGTAGGCGATCTCCGTTGTCCGTCCGGTTGGCTGGGATTGCATGCAGTCCGCCAAGAAGCCTTTGTGATTTGTTCAGGGATCCCACTTGATCGTTGAAGTCTCCGGCGATTACTACGACGTCCATTGATCGAACACTGAAGTAATTGAGAAAGATCCTTGTAGAATTCATCCTTGATTTCAGGTGTACTGCAATCGGTCGGTGCATACACCGATACGACAGTGCATTCAATGAATCGCAGAGCTGGCGTGATACTTCACCGTTATCAACCTTGTTATCGTAACTAGGAGTGTACCTGTAGTCTTAGACGCGGGGCAGTGGACTAACTGATATCGCTCCTACATCTGTGCTAAGTCCGATGTGTTGGACATATTCGATGCACAACCAGTGTCCGCACGAAAATAGTGTTCTCGAATACAGTCTGCAGGTTGTGTTCGTATTCTGTTCTAAGTTGGTGCTCTGTTGCTTGATACGTTTGTGCTATCTTTAGTTAGAAAGGAAATATGTAAATATGTAGGAATTTGCATGGGGCATGATTGTTGACAGCACCCGGCCTTAAACCACATCTTTCTAACAGATTCGCGGCATTGACTGCTGTATATATGTATATATATACATATATATACATGTTATTTAGATAGATAGATAAGTAGAATTTGTGTTTGAAAACAAATCCGTCATGCTTTGGCACAGGTCAAAGAATGTATTATTCTGGTTGCCTGTATTTTTGAGCTGCCGCGAGGTATGTTGTGCCCTAAAGTCTTGAGCAGCCATTTGGAGGAGCCTTTTTCTAGTTCTTCCTCTCGATTCCGAATAATTCCAGGTGCCTACTGTTTACGCCACCCATCCGATATCACTTAGCGTCTTACCAACGAGGCCACAATCAGAAGTTATAAGAATTTTGAGGCAAAGATGCCCTTTTCACTTGGCCGCAATTTCGGCACACTAATACATTAGTCAACAAGCTGCCTTAGCCAGAACCTCGAAACACGCATACAAGGCCCAATTTCAATTATCTCCCTGCATGCTTCTTATTTAACATTCTCATCCTTCGTGTTTCAGGCGATTCGGCATCCGAAGCTCGCGGTGTTGCCGGTATCGGGATTGCGCTAAGTGCCAAGGCTGAGCGCTGGGTTCCAATCAGTGGCCGACTGTGCACTGTAAGTCCCAAAGGTTCAGTACGGGCCAACAGCTACAGAACGAGACGTCATGCGTATTGGTCATATCGGTCTATTCACCGACTGATTGCAATGCACCTGAAATCAAGGATAAATTCTTTCAATTATTCCAGAGTGTCCGATCAACGGACGTCGTAGTAGTCGCCGGCGACTTAAATACTCAAGCGGAATACCTAGACGAATCAGAGAGGGTTCTTAGCGGATTGCATGCAATCCCAGCCAACTGGACAGATAACGGAGATCGCCTATTTCAACTCTTCGCGGACCAGGGATTGTTCCTGTCAAACACCAACTTCTTGTACAAGGAACAACACTGCCTTACATGAAAACCGCCAACCTCTTCACAACGCTGGACCCAAATCGATCACATCACCGTCAGTTACGGCTGATGGGGGTCACTTCCAGACTGTCACTCACTGTTAATTCGGATCACGCTTTGTTACGAACCCAATTATTCAAATAACCACAATAAAGCCACCGACAACGGCCATCATATATTGACAGCGATTGTAGCAAATCGGCATTTGAAGCTGAGCTCTCCAATCGTCTATCAGTTCAAC